GAAATGCAATTGCTCTTTGATTCCTGATAACGAATGGTTCCATCATAAAGGCAGTACAGGACAAAGTAGGGAGAAAAAGAATAGTGAATGGAAGATTTGAGGACATCAGAATAGCTTGTGTAAGATGTTTTTCATTGCTAATCATTCTTAGAAATTAAAAAAGCTCTGAAGTGTCAAAATTTCTTTGTTTTCAAACGATTACAGCTGGTGTAGCCATCATGTAGCTAGCTCTCCAAGTAAGATGTTTCCTGCACTCCTGTCGAGTACTCACATAGCAAAGTTTTTGTATGGGTGGATGGAAGAGATGACTTGTTTATGGATTTTTTGACCATTTTAGCTTTTTTTGGAAGGTGTTTTTATGACCAAAGGTAGAACTAGATTAAATTACTCTTTCATATATAGACTTCTCAAAAGGTTAGATTTATTTTACTCTGCTGGATAATGGGGACAATTAAGTGATCCAATGGATATCTCTACACTTCACAGATGGTCTTTGTGACTAACAACTACATGTGACCACTCATCTGTGTGTTTTGGAAAACTGTGAGAAAAAGCTCTAGAAAACTAGACAATTAACTCCTGGGATATGTTTGAGCCTGGTCTAGTGCACAGACTGAGCTTTACATCTCATTTCCAGATAGAAGGGTGCCAGACTTGATGCCAATGGATTAATAACCATGCGCTTTACAGTTTGGTGCTGTGGACTAAGACCATGAAGGAGGAACATTCAAACAGCATTGTTAGTATCATTAACAATGGGCATTTCTGTCACTGCAGAAAAGTCAAGAGGAACAATATTTTGTTTGCTCCTGCTAAAGACTAGCCAGTAAACAGCAGAACTAGCATTTAAGACTAGGCTGATGCACTGCCCTATAGTCCAAGAGCCTATGCAGAAAAGGAATTTATTCAAAGGAAACAAAGAGAAAGCTGTAATGGACATGAAAGAGATGGCTGACCATAAATAGAGGCTCTTTCTTCACATACATACTGAGTTTAGTTCTCTTTTTGCCACTTGCATTTAAAGCCTCCCATCACCCAGCCAGACACCAACACCAGCCTCTCCTACTACAATGGCTGGTAGCGTCCTCACCTTGCTGACAAGACCATGCCAAAGTTCATTATCTGGTTTTGTAAAAATGTTTTCCTCCTGGAAGGTTTATTCCTCCAGTTCTAAGAGGACAGGATACTTACTCTGTAGCATGGCAGAGGGTTGGCATCTCATACCATCACTATTTTCACCTGCAAAGTTCTAAGTGCTTTACAAAGGAAGGGTGCCATGATTGTAGCTAATAAGAGGTACAGAGGTTTTGTTCTTATTTCAGCACAGATGTAGGCTACTACAGTTCTTATGACTGGATGCTGTGTGAGTTTCCTGGCTGGGTTTCAAACATGTCCAGAGACTGCTCGTGACACCTTGTATTCTGCCAGGTGCTCCCAGGCAGACTGGACACAGCAGTCTACCAGGCATCTGTGGTTGAGAGGTGGAAAAACTGCAGAGCAAGCCCTGGTCTCCACTACTCTTGTGAATCATTCCAGATCAGGGGGACTTGGAGGATTACAAGTTGCTCATGAGGCAAATTGTGGCTGCTGATAGAGGGGAATAAGGTGAGCTCAGTTGCATTCATGGCAAATACAAAGCCTGCTCTGCTGTCATGGTTTAGCCCCAGCTGGCAACTAAGCACCACACAGCTGCTCACTCACTCCCCCACAGTGGGATGGGGGAGAGAATCAGAAGAGTAAAAGTGAGGAAATTCATGGTTTGAGATAAAGACGGTTTAATAGGTAAAGCAAAAGCCGTGCACGCAAGCAAAGCAAAATGAGGAATTCATTCACTACTCCCTGTGGGCAGGCAGGGGTTCAGCCATCTCCAGGAGAGCAGGGCTCCATCACAAGTAATGTTTTCTTGGGAACACAGAAGCCATCACTCTGTGTCCCCTCCCAGCTCCCCGTGCACCCCCAGCCTCCTTGCTAGCAGGCCAGCATGAGAAGCTGGACTGTCCTTGACTACCTGGCAACACCCCAAAACATCAGCACTTTATCAACTTTTTCTCATCCCAAATCCAAAACACAGCCTCATACTAGCTTCTATGAAGAAAATTAACTCTACCCTGGCTGAAACCAGGACATCGGCTAAGTGAAATGCCAACACTTTATTAGAGAGGAAACAGATCCCAACCTGGGCAAGTTTGCAGCTGCAGCAAATGCTTCTCAGCTATAACAAAATGTCACTGCCAGAGCACAGATAACACCAGCCCTTCAGAGCTCCCTCTTTGAAGCACACACCTTCCCTTCCCTTCCCTTCCCTTCCCTTCCCTTCCCTTCCCTATTCCCACAGATCAGAGGAATGCAATGACTGGGATTTGCTGCTTGTTCTTTTAAGTACTTACAGCTTTTGCAGCTTTCCCCATCCTCCCTGCAAAGCTCTAGCATCCTGGTGGCAGCAAAGCCCCAGGACCCCACCAGAAGCCAGGATTTCACCTACAATTTTGCATTAATCAGTGCTAAATCCCCTGTTGCACACAGTTATGATACTCCCACATGAACTTTTTGAAGCTATTCTGTCATCTGGTTGTGCCTTCTGGCTTAATTTCTTGGGGATTTTCAGATCAGTTCAATTCTGGGGACTTCACTCTTGGCATTTATGTCTCTAGAGGTGAAGTGATGGGTCACAGTGTTCACAGGTGTTCCCTGTTCTCCCAATGTGCTTAAAATTGTTGTTTTCTCATCCCCAAAGTGATCCTGGAATTTCAAGACTTACAGAGGACATTTCCCAGGGCTCAAGGGAGAATCTATATAGAAAAAAGAATTGCTGATGGTGTAAATGATCAGCTGTCTGCAATCTTCACTGGGTCCTGGGATGAGGAAAAGCAATTAAGGACATATTGATCACTGGGCCAATTTCAAAATCTACCCTCAGGGGCCTGACCTACTTTGGACTAAGCTTGTTCATTGGCAGTTTCCCCCCTGCTCCCAAAAGTAGCTGCATCCACAAGGACTGCTGCTCTCCTCAGATGGAAGCAGGGTGACATCTCCAGGTGTCCCCCAGGCTGGATGGTGCCCACAAGCTGGTAACAGCTAAGGGTGCATCAGTGCTAGGCAGATACATCACAGCTGCCTCCACAATATACATTCTCAGCCCAACCCAGAGCTGGCCACCCAACTAATGGAGCAACTGGGAAAAGCTGGGCAAGCCCATTCTTTTTTTAGCAGAACAGATCCAGCCTGAAGCCCTTGAGAGACTCTAACACTAGAGTAATCTGCAAGGCCAGTTTTGCCATTACTTTTCGGAGTGATTTACCAAGGAAAACAGCTGAGGGCAGCAGCTTTTGCCTCCAGATAGTTGGAACAAGGTATTGCAGCCGTTGCCAGGCATAAAGCACAGGATATAAAGCACTGGGCAGCAGAAGGCTTCTCAGTGCTAGGGCCTGGCTCTTCTTCATCTCCAGCTGCCCCATGGGGCAGACACAAGTCCATCCCAGATAAGCATCACAGCCTGTACAGATGAGAGAAGAGGGGTGCACAAGTCCCTAGTCACCCTATGCAAGTTGCCTTGCATAGACGTCTCCCTCCCTAGCACCTTAGAGGCACTTGCTCATCCTTTTTCTCTTTCCTTCTGAAAGGCTGAAGAAAGAAGCTGCTCTCATTTCGGCCAAGAATTGCATGCACAGTGCTTGCCACGGATGAAATAATACTTTTTCCCATGTAAAGCAAAGCCTAAACTTGAATACAACCAGTCTGATCACAATCCCTCTGATTTCCCTTTTTCACATGGGGACAGGAAAGTAAGATGTGCATTTCCCTGCCAGAATTGGTTCTCAGGAATTACAATAATCACAACATCTACCAGATTATTATTTTATATGCATGCATGCATGAATATGTATAAGAATGTGTATATGAGTGTGTGTATGTATGGGCTATTTGGGGGACACAGAATTTAAAGTGACAACAAAATGCTTATCTCTCCCCTGCCTTCTCCCATTTGCTTAACATTAAAATAGGCTATCATATATCACTGGAATTTGGGATGTTAGAGGGACTTCATGATAGAAGCAAGTGCTTGAGGGGGAGCTTATGTTATGCCTCTGATATCCTGGTAGCTGGGAAAGGCTCCAAGAAATCAGTCTCCTCTGAACTGGGATGCAATAAGGAGAAAAAAACTTAAATTCTGTCCTCTGATAAAATTCATAAACTTTACATCCTCTGTGTCTCAAGGTAACATGAGGGTCAAACTCGATGAAGCAGTTTGCTGCCACAAATGAGCAGAGCAGAGGACATAGCAACAGCAAAGGAAAATGGAAATCTTCCTCGCTACTGCAAGGAACAGGGACTGGAGTCAAAAATGGGGTGAGGGCGGGGTGGGGGTGTAAAACATGCTCTGCCCACCTAACCTTGCCTGCATACAGTTTTAACTCCATATCAGTCTTGGATCCTGTATAAACTGAAACCTCTGTTTGAAGGGTTGCAAAGTGATGCTGGGCTGCCTGGCAGGGAGAGCGTTGGAGCATGAGCCAGCCTGTGCAGCTTCTTTCTGCCAGTGGCCTCAGCTGACCTTGGGCTTTTCATCTTCCAGTGCCTCAGTTTCCCCATCTACACAGTAAGCTCTGCTCTTTGTAAAGGGCCACTAGCAGGTAGGATGAGGGAAGCTGTCTGCACTTAGCTAAACCTATGTTTTTCCTGGTTCATTTCCTCTAGAAATACAATATGGGAGGGGAAAGGCATCCAAAATTTGCAGAGGGTGGAGGCAAGGCAGGCTGGGGCAGCCAGGGAAGAACTTTCCCATCAGACTTGTGGAAAGTGGCTTATGTGGAAAACAGCTTGAGACCCAGCCAGAGTCCCAGATCTGAGAGCAGGCAGTGGGCAAATGCAGAGGTGGAGCTTAGTGGGGTCTTTGTTAGATATAAAAGGCCGAGATGGGTCAATGCTAACAACAGCGCCTGCCACAGTGCCTGAGACTTGGATGAGGGGAGCTGCGCAGAGAGCAGAGAGCAGTGCCAGCCATGGGGAGGGCAGCCCCAACCCTCCTGGCCCTGATCAGCCTAACAGTGACTATGTATGATGCCCAGGACACCTGCCCAGGTGAGTGGGGCACAAATCCTATTGCCATCCCGCTAAGACAGCCTGTTTCATCTCCCCCATAATACAATGAGCTTGGGCAGGGGGGATATGAGTTTTTTCTTCTATGCTTTTTTCAATTCAGCTGCAAATGGGAGGAGGGTAAGGGGGAGGATGAAGTCTCAGCAGCCACTTTACGAAACTGCTAGCTCCAACTGAAGATGTAGCATCCTCCCCAACTCACTCGTGGGATCTCCAGGAACAGGCTGTCCTTGTTAAGGTTTTCCATCCTGGTTAAGGGTTTTTGTTCATGGTGCCTTGGCCCAGTTACTAAAGGGTGCAGAGCAGTACAAAAGATCAGTCAAGTGCTTGCTGGGTGCTAGGCACCCTAGCATCTTGGGGATGCTGCACAACACAGCTTTATGTCTATATTCCTCAGGAAGACAATAGGGATGATTTCAAACTGACTTGGTATCAGGAAATTTGGTAGGACATTTACTGTCCACAGATCCATCAGTGTAACTTACTCTGCTGTCAATACCCCTAAGGGCACCTCTCAACTTTTGTTTTATTAAGCTACAGTATATTGGTCATGTATGTAATGTATATAACAGCCTCCTCTCCCACTGAACTCCCCTGAAGCCAGACAGATCCAGTGTCTAGCTCCTCTAATATGTGAAATCCTCAATGCCATCTGTTAATCCATATGACACCTCCAAACTCGTGTTCCTGAACTCCAGAGGGTTCTGTTTTCTCTCCAAGACATTCAGCCCTAATAATCTCCACAAAGACTATCTTCATTTCCTCAGAGATGAAAATAGTGGGACTGGGTGATGCTGACCGGCTCACTGTACTCCAAGGATGCCCAGGGATCCCAGGTGCCTCCGGCCCAAAAGGAGAACCAGGTCTCCCAGGAACAAAAGGTGAGACCCCAAAAGTCAGTGATGAACACTGAGATATGAGATGGCTTTGTTGCTTAGGGTAGGGGAAGCAAGCTGAGGCTGGAGCTGTGGCTAGCCTGGCACTGGCTTCTGCAAGCAGCTGGAAAGTTGAGTAGCAGTGGAAAACACCCTGCCTAGAGATGTGCTGGTACACATGGAGTCGTCATTTTTTCCCCGATTCCTGTCACAAGTCTGAATTGGTCCTGGGGTGTGAATTGTCATAACTCACTTGTTTCTTCTACAGTAAAAACATCCATTTATTTTCTGAGTCTTTATTGAACAGTCTGGGTGGGAAAAAGGTTGTGATGCTCCTGCATGTCTACTGGGCAACAGTTTGGGAACTGTACTGGCACTCCCTACCCCAGGAAACAAGGAATATGGGAGTCCTTCAGCATTTTCATAGCTAACTCATAGAGAAGGTGAATCACATTAGCAGAGGGAGTAGATCCACTGCAGCAAAATCCATGGACTGACTCCAAGATGTACAAAGCTCATAAGAATTCATACATGAACTGCAAATTAGGACTTACACCGGTAGTAGCAGTGTAGTGTAGCTTCAACAGAAGAAAAGGAGTAAGATATGTTGCAAGATTGAACCTATTAACAAACCCCAGCTTCCTTGTTTCTGTAAAAGCCAAGGCCCAGCTGCCCAGGCTTCTGTATCATCTCCCCTGTGGTCAGTTTGTAATGTGCACATACAAACTGAGTCTTTCCTTGCAGGAGAAATGGGAACCCAGGGACTCCCTGGGAAAGCAGGACCACCTGGTGCAAAAGGTAATGCATAACATATTCAACTTTAATCCACAAATCTACCCAAGTTCAGGACATTCATTGCGAGACTCATTCTACAGTGATGAACTGTAGAGCTGGTCATAGTAGAAGAAACAGCCCTGAAGTAGCGTAGGAAAAGCAGGAGGGTCTTGCATGGGATGAGTACTAGAAACAGTGTCCTTGACTGGGACTACATCACAGAGGAAGATACTATTCTTCTTCTTGAAGTTCCCTACTGACTCTTACCAGTCTGCTAAAATCAGACCTCTCCCCATTCCCCACTCCTACCCTAACCCACCTCCACCATGACAAACCTGCCCAAATGTCCTCCCTGAGGAACTTTGGAGTGCTTTGGCCAGGAGGTCTGATGCGGAGACACAAGTGCTTCCAGCAGCCTCCAGGCCTGGACTCGGTGTGCAATGCCATTGTAGCCCACTTGACCGGAAGGATGGCATCAAACCACCAGGAAACAGCTGGCACGGGGTGAAGCAAGGAGGGAACGGAGGTTTCTTTGCAATGGGATGAGCCCTTGAAAAGAGAAAGATGTCTGCTGAGAAATCAGCTTTTACTCCGTCCAGGCTGTGCTTAAGGTCTTCAGCAGGATTTGTGTGCTGCAGACATCGGAAATGTCTCTTCTAGAGAAACCAGTTCCCAGCACAAGGTGGCACCCAGGAACTGAGCACCAGTGAACTGACTATCTGGGAAAACAGTCCCTTTGCATGCTGAATATGTACCTATTTCCTGGCCAAAAGCACCCAAGACTTCAGCTGAAACCCCAGCAGGAGATGGATGAACCCACTGAAAAAGCAGCTATTGCCCAAAATCTCACAGGTGTCTGACTGAAAACAGAAAGTCCCCACAAAAATTCACGGAGATGGAACTGTGAATCCCCCATACACTCCACAGGCAGAGCAACAGTTCTCTCTCCCCTGTGTCCTGCTCCTCCTGCAGTTCCCAAGAGATGTTGCTGATTGAGAGAGCAGCCAGGCTGGGGTGGCAGCACCAACTGGGATGTTCAGCAGAGCACCGTGGCTTTGCACCACTTGACAGCCTCTCCTGTACATTTGGGACATATGGAGGGCTGGAGCAGCCACCTGGGGAGCCACACTAATTCATTTGCATTGAGTCATCTGTGATGAGCATTTTCTTCTTGTCTCTTGCAGGAGCAGCTGGAGAGTCTGGCTTCCCAGGACCAAAAGGTAAATCATGCTGCGCTGAATTTATCACGTGAGCTGGTTTAGTTAAACTTCCACCCTGTGTGAAACAACACACCATATGGGAGCAATTATAGAGCAATAAAAGTACCCCACCAGGTAGTGGATGGTGTTTGATGACAGTTGTGCCCCATTGTAGGCTCAGCCCCCGCCTGGGTGGCGTGAACAGCCCCTCTCCAAAACCAGCTGTTCAGCAACCGGGGCTGCCCCCAGCTGGGATTCCTGATGCTGCTGCCCAGCACCACCAGCTACAGAAACTGCAGGGCTTCACATGCCCCAGCCTGAGGGGCCAGCCAGATTTGAGCAGACCTCTGACCTTCCTGTGCTATGGCAAAAGGCAGAGGCTCAGATGAAACTCAGCAGCTGCTAGTGCCAGGGAAACATGTAGGATAGAGAGAAAAGAAGGTTTTTTCCTGATGCCATCACCCTGCAACACAAGGGCCGCTAGCACCCATCGCTGAGCACCGTATGCACTGCAGCTTCCCTCACTGCAGCTTGACTACTAATAGCTGGGGGCCAAGCACTGCTGATACGGTGTCTAGTTCAGCACATTTGCTCCCGCTGCCACAGGTGCTCCCAAACCACTGACCAAAGCCTTCTGCCAGCAGCAACCATTCCCCTCTCAGGGCTTTTGACCCTGCCTTCCCACAGGTGCGTTTCCTCCTCCTTCCCACACCCACCTGCTCCTGTCCCACATGCCCCAGCCCAATGGGACTCACTGGCACAAAATGTTGGTACCCAACTCCGCAAGCTGGCCAACAGAGACACATCTTGTGCCAGTCCTGCCATTTGGATCTCCCAACCCCAAATCAAATGTCAGGGGAAAATATATCATGCTGGGTCTACAGCCCAAGAGAGGCAAGGCTGCTGCTTCTTGTGCATCTATAAGGTGTCCCACCCGCCTGGCAGCCACCCCATGTGCCTGCTAGGCGACCTGGAGAGCTGCTCCCAGTGACTGAGGGTGCTGGGAGCTGTAATGACAGGAGTCTGTGACTTGGGTTCCCACCTGCCATTGTCCCTTTGTACTCTCCTGGGTCTGTGCGGATGGGCCTTTGATGGGCTGGTGGGTCTCCTCTGGCGGGCCTGGGCACGGCCGGGGCAGAACATATATTGAGTTACTCCTCCTGCCCAGTTTCTCTGTGCCTCTGTTGTGTGTGCAGGTGAGATAAACACTTCCTCTAACATGACAGCCCTCTACCAGTGCAGCAGGATTCGTGTTGAAAAGCAAATGATGCCAAGTGCTGGAGGAGGGGAGGGCAGGGTGTGGAAGGTGAAGAGAAATTGATGGTGTTGTTTGTCCAACAGGAACGAAAGGAGAGCCTGGATTTTCAGAAACACGGGGTGAGTTTCATCCTAGGTCCTTCATGTCACCGCTGGCTTTGCAGAGTAGATGGTGGTGGACTCCCTGCACCAGAAGTCAGGACAGGGCAGCAATAAAAACAAATGTAGAGTGACACTGAGGGATGGAGTAAGGAAATATCACTGTTAACCCATTTGCTTCTCACAGCCTCATGTAGCTTCTGTGTATCTATATACTCCATAATCCAGCCAGGCCAGGCAAGTCATGTCCTTTGAGCCCTACTCAAGTCACCTTCCCTCTGTGTGTCCTGGAGGAGGTCTGTCAGTTTTTGAGAGCCTCAGTGTCCTGGTTTCCAAGATGAAACCACTACAAACACATCTATAGACATGCTGCTACTTTAAAGGCAGTTCTACCACCACACTTGCAGTGGCAAGTTCAGTAGGTGCAGAGTCCACCTGTGTGATAGTGCTCAGATTAACTTAATCATTAAAAAAAAGAAAAAGAAAGAAAGAAAACAATCAAGCTTCAGTTGACCCATCTGTTCCATGACCTTAAGACAAAGCAGAGCTAAAACCTGCTCCGGCTACACTTGGATGCCGCACAGCTACAGTCATGTGCAGAGGCTCAGGCAGATCAGAGCTGCTGTAACACTTGAAAGAGGGAGACTGAGATGCACTGAACTGGCACCTTGCTGCCCCAGGCACTCATTCCTCTGCCCCTTTATGTTTCCTGGGCATATAAAAACATTTGACTAATAAGGAACAGGCCAAGTCCAGGACCATCCCTCATGCCCACAAGACAGCCTGGTACAGCTGTGCATCCATTCATCAAATACAGCACACTCAGACACCTGCACCACCAGCACCACCATCTCAGGTCATCTGCCAAGGCTTTCCCCTGTGAAAGCCACAGACGCAGCTGTAAGCTGGGATGTCTGACAGGGACCATTCCAGTCAATCCTTTGGCATCTGTGAATCTGAGCTTCTGTCATCAGGTGTGGTTTTTGGGAGGAAAAATTAATTTACACATAATATATATGTATATATTCAAAAGTGCCATCTGTCCAACACATAGAGAGTGATCTGAACACTGTTTTCTGTAGGTGTTTTTCTGTGTCACCACCCTTTTGCTGCCACACACTCTCTATGACCCCTACAGGTTCCTGAGCCTGGCCAAATACCTGCTTCATGAGTTTTATCATCCCACTCAGAGTAGCTCCATCACCCAGACCCCCAAAAGAGTCATTTGAGATGAGAGGAGTATGAACACTTTAGATCATCTCTTAGAAGGTGCCCATCTCCCCTGTGACATCTGGACTCAGAAAGTGCTGCAGGGCTTGGCTGCCAGTGTGTGCATGCCAGAGTCCTGCAGTGCAACAAGCTAGCTGAGAGGCTGAAGGGCTCAAAGCCTCCAGCTTAGGGCATGAGACTAATATGCTCCCTGGATGCAGTGAGCACGTTGTAACTCTTTCCACTTGACCTCCTTCCCTGATTTGCACAGAAGCCAGGAACTGCCAAGAGCTGTTGGGTAAAGGGAAGATCCTGAGCGGCTGGTACACCATCTATCCACAAGGCTGCAATGCCACCACCGTCTTCTGCGACATGGACACAGATGGTGGAGGATGGATTGTGAGTAGGATGAGGAGAGGGAGGTTTCTATGTCCCTACAGTGATTTTTATTAAGGCAGCAAAGGGTGGCACCAAAATAGAAACAAAAAGGGAGGAAAACATGCACTGAAGGGCCAGCTGAGGTTCATGTCTGAGGTTCAGCAAGCCTAGGTGAATCCCTGTGGATGCAAGGAATTCTCCTGGGAGATGTCTCTGGGCACAGGCTGAGCACCACAGATCCACTCCCTGCTTAAATCAGAAAATCATTTCCTCGGGCAGATGGAGACCTGTGAGCAAGGGATTTCCCTGGGGTTTGGTCCCCAGAGACCCACAGGAGTGTCCTGACACAGGGCGAGCATTTGCTGCAGGGGGTTGTGCCACTGGGCGCTGTGGATGCAGCCTGGCGGTGATGAGGCTCTCCTTTCCTGCAGGTTTTCCAGAGGCGCTGGGATGGCTCAGTGAGCTTTTTGCGAGATTGGGATTCATACAAACGAGGCTTTGGCAACCAACTGACAGAGTTCTGGCTGGGGAATGACAACATCCACTTCCTCACCTCACTGGGTAAGGTCTGCCTCTGTCCTGGGCTGGGGCTCTGAGAATCAGATCCCTGTACCACACTTGGCCATCAAAGGACTCTGAACTTCTCGCATCCATCTGAGGCCCCAACAGTTAATCCTAAACAGCATGCAGGCTCTTACAGCCCATGGCACACAGGGAATTGCACTCTAAAAAAGGAAAACTAGAAGCCAGGGAAGAGAATGAGCTGGCTGCATGACCTATCCTGGAGCTAGGCCAACACATCTTTCTACTAGGAGTGGTTGTGATGGCAGTAATCTTGTTCCCACATAGCCTTGGAGTCACAGTTGTGTACAGGATTCCTCAGTGCCTATGACCACACTACCTGGGATCAGAAAAGGTGCTTCACAAGAAAGCCATCATAGGTAAAGGAGGTTCTGCAGGAATTTCAAATAAACCATAATGTCTCCATTGTGTTTCAAATAAACCATAATGTAAAGTAGTGGAAGCTCCTCTCAAGTTAGCTCAGGGCTCCTTAAGCCCTCCACCCTGAAATACAGGTGTGTACCCACTATTATCCCTGCACCACTGGTGTCCACCTTCTCTTCTAGGACGCTGTGAACTCCGTATTGACCTGAGAGACTTTGAAAACAACTACTATTTTGCCAAGTACGCTTCATTCAGGGTTTTAGGAGAGTCTGAGAAATACAAACTGGTTCTAGGAGACTTCCTCGGTGGAAACGCCGGTAAGTTAGCAGCAGGTCACTGGGAAAGGCTGTTTTCTAGAGGATTTCAGAAGTGTTCAGCATTTATAGTGCAGAGCTGTATCATGCAGACTTCTTGTAACATCTACATTTTGAGTCAATTTTTTAAAAACTGGCCATGGTATCCCAGGTACCAAGTGACCTGGTGCAGGGAAGGACAGGGACACCCACCACCCACAGAAGTGTGACACAGAGCATTCCCTACAAGCCCAGCCACATGGTGTAGCAGCAAATGTGGAGCCTGGTCCTGAGCAGCACCTCACCCAATGTAACCTTCCCAACAGCTCTGCAGCAGCCGGGCCAAGTTCTGCTTTCAGTTACATTGGAAGGAAATATTTGTCCATGAGGTTTGGCATTTCCAGGGCTGGGGTGCTGTTCAATACTTTCAGCATCAGCACTGCATCCTCTCTTAATGCCTGATGTTTTGTTTTTCTCTAAAAAGCAAACAAATTCTCTGCAAAATTCAATACCTCTCATGTAGGAATGAGTGAAACCAACACCTGAGATAGCAGTGCTCTGGGTTTATGTGGCTTTATACGCTGTAACTCTGTCTGATAGTCCAGACCTCAGTATGTCTGCAGAGAATCTGAGCAGTGCGAGAGAAGTGACACCTGTATAACTGTGAGTGGAATCTGGCCCATTCGATTCACAGGCATAGATAAATTCTCTGTGTGTTTTAGCAGTACTGGCAGAGCTCAGGATACTCCTTTTCTCCAGGAATAAGGAGGAAACCTGGGTAACCAAAAGAAAGGCAGGATTTATAAAATCTGTCCTGCATCCAGCACAGCCCTGCAGCGGTGCAGACATTAGGTTCCCTTTTGTGCTCTCTGTTGCAGTAACTGTGAACATGTACTCTCTGCAGGAGACTCCTTATCATACCACAAGGACATGCCATTTTCAACAACAGACCAGGACAACGACATGAGCTCCTTTAATTGTGCCACAGAATACAAGGGAGCGTGGTGGTACAATGACTGCCATTACTCCAACCTGAATGGGATGTACTGGCTGGGCGTTCATGGGAGCTACGCTGATGGCATAAACTGGAAGACAGGCAAAGAATACCATTACTCCCATAAGCGAACGGAAATGAAATTCAGGACAGTTTAACATGGCAAGAGGGTGTCTGACCCTGACCAACAGGTGCCACTCAACAGCCAAGAGAAGATACAAAACATAATGTTTGAGGGCAAAATTGGACCGGGAAGGATATTACAGGTTGTGCCTTCAGCCTAGAGCAGATTTAAAGAGACCAGAAGAGATTGGTGCTGGTTTGAGCTTCTGTAAGCACCAGACTGGACTATCTCCAGCAGCCCCACAGATGCTGACTGAGCCCGAGCATCCTTTTCTGAAAAGTGTGTGACCTTGCTTTAAAGACCAAGTGACGGTGAGGCTGCTGTATCTCAGTAAAGCTCTCAGATACTATTACCCTAAATGGCAATTACTGGTAATTTTCAGTTTAATCCACCTATATGAACCCTCCAGTGTTCTTGCAGCCTCTTTTTCTGTTGGACCTAAGAGCCATCTGAAAGGCCCCGAATTCCCAAACCCTGCTCTCTCCCTGCAGGCTGTGATGGAGCCACAATGTAGACCAGCATGGAAAGGACTGAGCTTCCAGTACAGGGCTGTCAGCATTGCCACCTCCCTCCTTCCCCCCGCACTGCCTCACACAATACGTGCTCCAGGACCTCAGGACCTCTTTAGCTACTGTGGACCAAAAGCTGGATACAAAACAGTCTGTCCAGCCACATGTCCAGCTTGCCCCATCTCTCACTTCCAACTCACAGTGCTTAATTAAAGCCTGCTGTGATGAGGCCTTCTGACTTTTTCCCAAGCCTGTAGTGTTGCATGGAGTAGAGTGGCTGGAGAGCTGCCCAGTGGAAAAG